AAATATTATATATGAAATTAAAATATAAAAAATAAAAGAGAAAAATAGATAACTATAAACAAATAGAAATAAATGTAAATGAATTATAAAAAATAAATAATTAATGTTTATGTGTTTGTGTGTGTGTGTATGTTTCTTTATTTGATAGTGTAAAACGATATCATTGCATTAGGTGTATAAAATGACATAATTGCGTGTGAATGAGATAATTTACGTACTTCATTAATAAGACACTCCCCGATATAGCAATAAACCAATAGCGTGCATAAAACACGACATGCAACAAAAAAAAAAGCGACTGTCTTTCTTTGCTCTCCTGCTGATATACACTGGAAGTAATAATAATTTAATTTAATATATTCTACAAAATATTTTTTAGTAATAAGCAATAACGAAATGTATATGTTAAATTTACAACGAGCACGTCGTAACCAAGAAGACAAAGATGAAGGGTACTTCCTATTAATTGTTGCAAAATTAATAGGTTGAATTCACTTTCCAAAGAATCAGCTAATCTGAAACATTCTGCATAGTATATGTATACATATATAAATATATATTACATATATATATATATATATATTTATATATATGTATATGCTTAATTTATAAATTTCATTAATGTATTCTTTTATTTATTTTATTCATTATTATTGATATTATTATTATTATCATCATCATCAGCATCATTATTAATAATATTATTATTATTGTTTTTGTTATTATTTATTATTATTACCGTACTAGACGTATGTGTCTCAAAATTAATTTCTTTATTCGACGTTTACGATTCTTCGGATTGTCCAAAACGTGCTTTACTTTGCAGGAAAGTGCAGAGAAAGCACCACTGACGTGAAGTACCAAACTGATGAATAGACAATCAGTACCGACGTAACCGAAGATTATAATTAGAGCTGTTAAAAATTCATATAGACAAAGAAAAACGTAGGTTATCAGATTTGTCGGTTCGATCAGCGAAGAAGTTTTGTATGGCAATACGTATCCGTAAGATGAATTTGCAACGACTGTAAGTAACAACACAATAATAAAAGAAAGATTTTATTTTATTAGAAACTTATTTTTTTTTTTTTTTTATTAAACGATAACTATAGAAATAATTTAATTACTTTATTTTAACTAATAAGAAATGATATCTGTAAAATCAATTTTAGATTTTTCTCGATATAATAATATTATAATTTTTTTATAATATTATTTGTACTTGCTTCTAACAAAAAAAAAAAAAATAATTTTAGTTATAATTTCTTTTTCCATCGTATGAATATTATTCTTAACGAAAAATATAAGGATATTCAATATTTTTCTATAAAAGAAATTTTTTAAACGGACGGTAATATTAATTTTTTTTTTTTAATATTTGAAATAAAAATAATATAAAAAAGTTATTTTACGTGATTATTATTTCTAAGTTTTTATATTTCGGCACCCGATATATAATTATACTAATTATCTTCTGTTCTGATAATATATATTTAATGTAAAAGATATAAAAAAAAAGAAAAACAATTAGAAACAAGAAAAATCAACATAAAAATATATTTCAATATATATTAAAATAAAGTATTTTAAATTTACAAAATTATAATACTATAATAAAGTGAAATAAAAAATTATACAATTATATATAATTGAAATAAATTAAAATATTTAAAATATTTGCACTAAAAATTAAAACAATAAAAGTCGACAGTCGTTACAATAAGAATTATTCACGAATATAAGAAAGAAGATGATAAATAAAAAGAAATGGAAAATAGTTGAAGAACCTTTACAAAAATTACTGATCGAAATGATAAAAAATAAATAAATATATAAGTAGTCGAATGTAAAAGAAAAAAAATTATTATACGAAGTAAAATAAATAAATGAAAAAGAGAAAAACAAAAAAACTCCATTAGTCAAATATGATTTCGATATAATTATAAAAAAATTTACCCATTTCAATGTTGATAGCTAGTAAGGACATATAACACAGCAAAGCGGCTGTGCTGCTTGTTCCTATACTCAACTTAACGAGCTTTAGACTAAAATTGTTATAATTTAAAAAAGCAATCTTTTCCTCGTCAGTTTTGTATCTTTCTGGTATAAGATCGTGTTTGATTTCCTTTAAAATTTCGGCCAACGAATTGCTATTAATTCTGCATATGCATATTTTCAATAGCGTCATAAAATTGAACAAGTACTCATCTAAGCAAGCAATAACATATTCCATATCCGATATGTTATCGGTAATTGAGATGACTCCCATTGTACAATGTGTGGCCAAGTAAACAAAGAAAAAAATGAAAACAGGCTCGTGAATCCTTTCTGGCCAAATTCCCGCGCAATTTAACGTACGTTTGTTCAAATCTATCACCTTGCCGGTACCCCGAAAGTCAAGCTCCTAAAACGAAGATTTTCTTATTTCTCTTATTCTTTTCCTTTTTCTTTACATACTTTATTTCTTTTTATTTATTTCTTGGTTTCTAGTTTTTCTTTCTTTTAATCAATTAATTAAGTTAATTAAATCGTTTAACTTTTTCGAGAGTTATTGATAAATTGAATTTTTATTGCACTATATTTTTTGTTTCGTTTTGATCTTTTTAAATTAGTCAATTACTACGAAAGCGAAATTTTATTTTCGCATATCTTTCCATCTATTATACATTTTTTATTTTTTTCCTATCATCTAATTAAATATTTTGCTTCTCTGAGGTCTAATGATTAATTGAATTCTTCTTGCATATTTTTCATTTATTTCTTTCTTTTTTTCATAACTATTTCGTATAACAAAAAAGAAAATTAAGAAAATTTTAATATATCCTTCAATATAAATTTTCAATATAAGATTTTTATATCTTCTAGTATAAATG